TTCTGCTTGCAAAGATTCGAGAGCCAAATCTGATCTATGACATACACACCAAGCAGTCAGAATGTCCCTGCCAACATGATCTTTCAGCAATTTCCAGAGACCTCCTTTCTTTCCTGTATTGGCACTTTCCCCATCAATCGTAATGGCAACCAGTTTTTCTGTGTCTACGTTCACCGATTCCAAACAACTGATCAGTGAGTCTAACAGTCCAGCAGCACCACCCCTGTCACTGCTTGCAACTCCAAGAAATACAGTTTTAACGCAGACTTCATCGATTGGCACATACCTTGCTGTTATGAACTTGGAGTCAATTTGCTGTCTAGCAGAACTTCCATCAATTTGTAAGGAATAACAAATGCAGTTTTTCAATTCAGCTGCAACTTTTTCCATTTCAAATTTAACAACAATATTTCTCATTTCAGCATAGGTGACGGTATCTCGGTAATAATAAAAGCTTGACTTCTCGAAACCAACAAAATCAGCATCCGACCCTTCTGATTGAAAAACTCGCATTAAATTATTGCTATGCTCGAAAGAAAGAGATCTTGATGACCAACTTCTTGCACTTAGTGTTTCGGCTCTGCAGTCATTGTAGACATCCACAGCCAATCTAAGAAGAAATTCCAAAGTTTCTTTCTTGTGTTTTTCAATCATCCTCACCCATGGATGATCTGTTGACATACTCCTCCATGTATCTTTGTGCTTCTTCAACCTTTTGGATTCATTGTGCGAAGGCGACTCTAAATGATTTATAACCCATTTCAGTTTTTCTTTCCCATCAATTCGTACTCCAGATGCCATAGGCAGGCGTCCATTGACAGAGAATTTTACAACCTGTTCCTCGTATTTCTTACACAACTCACATGTCATTACCTGGCGTCGCTTCTTGTTTTTCATTTCTGTATGAATTTTAAGACAGCACTCTGACAAAATTAACCAGCTTGAGTCAAGTTTCTTCCCTTTGTACCACATCGAATTCGCCTCACCTTCTTTGCTTTCAGGCTGCTTGATTTCGTTTTGTTTGTCATTTTGCTCATTCTTTTCTTTCGGAATGGAAGCAAATTTTTCTTCCCCAACGTGCACAACTTCAGGGGCTTCAATTGATTCCTTGGATATCGACGATGAGGGTTTCACAGTTTGTTGGGAAAACATTCCAACCAATGATTTCTGTCCTGGGGCCAATGCTGCTGCAACTAACGCTTTCTTCTTGTTTTCGTTTCTTTTATCGTTTCCACATTTCTGTTTTCGTTTCATTTTGCTCTTCGTTGCACTTGCGAAAATCAATTGCGAATGAATATTTCTAAACTTTTCCTTGACCTTGATATACATATATAGCGAATGTTCTGTCAATGATCACACATTTAAACAAAGAGCGTCAGAATGACGACATAGGTTCGATTCAGACAAAGGAATTACACAAGGGGGTGAATGAAAGCCGACATCCGCAACATCTGTTTTACTTTCACACGAGAGGACAAAAAACCTGAACGGAAAAAGAACAGAACAACAAAGGGGAGGAGGAGCCTGATGTTATAAACAATACGAAATAAAACACCAAAGGCATTTGGGAGTAAAAACAAATTCTGTTTGTTTGCGTAAAGGCGGTTTTTTCATTATCTTTCAATTTTGGAAACCGTTCACATCTTGAGTTTAGTTTATAAATTCAATAAACTTGATTTAAAAGTTGATTTTCAAAAAATAAATATGTAGGTAAGTGAGAGATGAAAGGGCCCCAACTACTGGGGAAATTCTGTGATTTTGGTGTTCACTACTGGGGAAAGCATTGGGTCTACTGGGGAACGTTCCCCAGTAGTCACACTGTTAAAAAATGCTCTGCTTTGGAAAGCGACAAAGGGCTAACATGATCAAAACGTACGTCAGGACACGAGAAAGTGGCAAAAGGAGTAACGGTATGACGCTGAACTTTGGAACGTTGACAATTAAAGGTGAACTGACACGCAAAAATAACTTGACCTCAAATGAAGGCATATCGAGCATAAATACCTGATACATTATTTTTTTTAAATATTCAACACAGTTTTCGAGTTATTGAGCGTCAAAGTAAGCCACCGAGCATTATCCGAGCACGGATGAGTTCGCTCGAGCCTTCCGCATAATCGTGACGTCACAAACACCATGTTCACATCACTTGATCAACACGACAGTCTGAAAAGGCATGCTTTTATGACTTTTCGGATGAGCACCGATACATTAATTGAGTAGGTTTTGGCTCCATTTCGACATCCCAATTGGAAAACAGATTATGACTCCTTTACAAACCTTTCATAATAAGATTTGCAAGAATATCGTATTATCCAACTCGTTTGAGGCCCTTCCTCCGTCTTGGAGGACTCAGTGTGTGGCGGGCCAACATATCGTATAATGGTAGCGATAAATATATCGACAGGATTTTCATTTTCTGGAAACCTAAGTAAAATACTTTTATTTTGTTAAATACGGCTGCTGTTAGACTAATTTATCAGCCATCACCCCCCCCCCCCCCAAAGTTAATTTCGGTCTTTGATCCAGGTTAACTTCAATATTCGCAGTAAAGATTTCAAATTTAAGTCACTCATTTTTGGCATATTTTTTATTCAATCACATGAAAGATTTTCAGGGGTTAAGAACCTGGTACGATCGAATCGCTATTTGCAGGAAAACAACTTAGTAAAATTTTCAACTCCCAGGCCGCTGCACTCCTTTAACTCGGGTGAACCGATGAGTTTGCAAACCAAAAATAAAATAACTTTCATGATTTATATGGATGTAGAAATAATCTATCGAAGTAATAATATACTGAATTTATTCGAAAAAAAAGCTAGATTCATGATCATTGAAAAGATTCTTACATTCGTCCGCATGATTGACTTCAGAATTGAGAATTTCTTCGAGCAGCTAAAAGTGCCTATTCCTTCCAAACTTAAATTCCCTCCTAACATAACGTAGTACCAGCCAGCACATATTCTTCGTATATTTCATTAGCCTCGATTTTTCATTATTTTGGATCAAAGGCTACGTAGATCTCCTCGAATAGTAACTGAACAAGATGAACTGAACTGTCCAGTCCGTGCGTGATTTCCATTCAAGGAATAAAAACATGGTGTTTGTGACGTCACACGCACTGGGTCACATGAAATGCCGACAATGGTCGAACACTCGACGATTATTTCATGACATTTAGAGCGGAATTGCGTCAAAACGGACAATAATAATTAACCGAAAACTTGAAATTAAGATTCCATGCATCGTTTTCTACATTATATCAAAAAATAGTTTTGCGTGTCAGTTCACCTTTAAGGCACGATTTGGTCCACTGGCGAATTTCCTTGTTCATGCCCGGCCAAATGAAACGCTGCGTAATAAGTTTTTGTGTGGCACGAATTCCAGGATGTGAAACAGAATGTAAACTATCAAAGACAGCACGACGGTGGAGAGCTGGAATATATGGCCGAGGATTTCCTGTAGAAGTATCACAAAGAATCGTTTTGTTCGACAATGGAAGCGGAATGTCACAAAACTGTAAGGATGTGGATGCTTTTACCTGCGAAAGTTCTTCATCAAATTGTTGTGCATCAGCAAGTTGGGAGAAATCGATCGATGAATGGATAGAATTAATATGAAGGCGTGACAGGGCATCAGCAGCAGGGTTTTTAATTCCTTGAATGTGTCGAATATCTGTTGTAAATTGCGATATAAAGTCCAGATGTCGAATCTCCCTAGGCGAATGACGAGAAGATGCTGAAGAAATGGCATGTATTAGAGGCTTGTGATCCGTTAAAATGAAGAACTGACGACCTTCAAGAATATGACGGAAGTGGCGAATGGAAAGGTATACTGCAAGTATTTCTTTACCGAAAGTACTGTTTTTTGTTTCCGATGGTTGTAATCGCTTTGAGAAAAAGGACAGAGGGTGCCAGGTACCATCTATGTATTGCTGAAGTACGGCACCAACCGCAATATTTTAAGCATCAGTCATCAGACTGTATGGAGCTCTAGGGACTGGATGGCGGAGTAAAGTTTTGGTTGCTAAAGCAGATTTGACAGCCGTAAATGCGGTCAGGCAGACTCAGAGAGGTGAAAAGGCTGTTTTGTGTGACGAGCATTTAGAAGATCAGTTAAAGACATTGAGTCATGATAAAAGGGATTGGGTATACCCTAAGTGCCAAAATCCGCTGAGTCATTATTTTCATGAATGCCATGCTATTGGTTGACCTGGAACTGGCCACATGAACTCACCTCGTACTGATTGACAAAACAATTTCGATCAATAGCAAGTTATCAACAACGAATGCAAGTATCACATGAAACACCAGCGATCACGCCGAAACCAAATGACCCCCTATAGAGAGGGCCTATTTACCATGACTCAATACCTTTAATGGCTGCATGAGTGTTGCACAGTTTGGTATAAAACGGCGGTAAAAGTTGACGAGGCCGAGAAATTCACGTAGCGAGCGTAATGATGTTGGAGGCGAAAAATCTTGAATAATTTGAACTTTGGAGGAGAGTGGGCTGATACCTTCAGCAGAAACATGATGACCTAGAAAATCCAATGAAACAGATCCAAATTCACTTTTTGATGGATTTATGACAATGCCGTAGTCTTGGAAACGCTGAAAAATTATACGGAGATGATGTAAATGCTCCTCTGCGCTAGTACTTGCAATTAGAACATCATCGATATAGGCATAGACAAAATCAAGGCCCCGCAGGACCTCGTCAATAAAGCGCTGAAAATTCTGTGCAGCGTTTCGAAGGCCGAAAGGCATTCGTACGAATTCGAAAAGGCCAAAAAGTGTTGTTATGGCAGTTTTTGAAATGTCGGATGGTTCAACAGGAATTTGGTGATACGCTTTAACCAAGTCGATTTTTGAGAATATATTTTTACCATGCAAAGAAGAGGAGAAATCTTGTATGTGTGGTATTGGGTAGCGGTCTGGGATAGTTACGTTGTTCAAGGCGCGATAATCTCCACAAGGTCTCCAGTCACCTGGGGTGGGTTATGGAACCATGTGAAGTGCAGAAGACCAACTACTCTTTGAAGGACGAATGATGCCTAACTGAAGCATGTGATCAAATTCAGACTTGGCGATAGCAAAACGATCTGGAGCGAGTCTTCGTTGACGACAGAAAACAGGTGGACACTCAGTGCGAATATGGTGCGTCACAGTGTGTTTTATGGCAGTTTCTTTGTTTGAAAGACGAACAATGTCTGGAAACTCTTCTAGAAGATCTTGATAAGGCGTAGCCAGAGTCGATATCGCAAAAATGGGACAAGGTGAAGTGGCTGGAGTTGTAAGGCCTTGAATGGTGAGGTTAGTATTTGTGTCAAGAAGTTTGTGGTGACGAAGATCCACTTTTAGACCAAAATTGGCTAAAAAATCAGCACCAAGAATTGGACGAGGCATGTCAGCGAGAATGAATACCCATGGAAAAATACGGCGTAAACCAAAATCTAAAGTGACTGACTTTTGTCCATAAGTTGCAATAGGTGTATGATTGACAGCTTGAAGAGTGATCTTTGATGGAAATTTACGCTGTTGTGAAGAAGGTGGAAGGACACTAACGTCAGCACCTGTATCAACAAGAAAACGAGTACCAGTCTTTCTGTCAGTAACATAGAAAAGACGACTGTGAGCGGAGGAACCAGACGAAGAGGCCGCCTCTAATCGCTGGTGGGACCGTTTCCCAAAGACGATGAGCGAAAAGAACATGGTGACTGACATTTTCTTGCATTAACACCAAAACGCCAATGGTACCAACATTCAGAATTAGGGTGGCGAGATCGACTTGAACTGCGAGAGGGGCGACGAGAACCAGATGAAAAACTGGAGCGACGATAAGGAGAACGACCACGAGAGGAAACCTGAGATTGTAAAGCCTTTACAGCAATGGTTAGCTGAGAAATTTGCTCTTGTAAATCGATTGTTGAAACTGAAGGTGTTGCTGTGGCAGAAAGGGGGGACAGCAAAGGTGACGATGAAGTAACGTCTAAAATCTTATCAGCAAGAGTGGCAAGTTGATCTAGTGAAATTGTATCAGCAGAGGAAACCAAGATGGGTTGAACATGAGTCGGTAAACGTTCGAGAAACAACTGACGAAGAATATGCTTCTCGAGCTCTGCATTGCCTAAAAGCTGTCGCATTTTGCGAAGAAGTTGGGTGGGTTTTCGATCACCGAGCTCCTCTGCTACTAGCAACTGATGAAGACGTTTTCGCTCCGAAACAGACGTACGCTTGATAAGCTCAGACTTGAGGTAGTCATACTGTCATCATTGTTTAAATTCCAAAGCTCAATTTTTTATTGGTGAATTTTTATCTTTTTCTCAATAAGCCCCACTCTCTAATGGGGCCAAAAATATGATAGAATACGGTAAACAAGAGTGGCTATGGAAGCAAGGAATGTATTGTACAAAATGAGGCAATGTATTTCATGAAAATTTAGAAAATGTTTTACGAAATTCGTTACACTGGTTTAAAGCTATCTTTTGTCGTAAAATATCCTAATCAACACATTTGGAGAATATCTTTACGATAGAGAAAAACATTTGTGCGAGTGCAAGCTATATCGATCAACAAAAACTACCAACTCTTACAAAAAACGTAGTCTCTAATCAAAACGAGGCTATAACAAAATGGAGTCAGGGGGTCTAAGCTATAATTCAGTACACTCCCCCAAATCAAGTGTCTTTACTCTTGATTTAATGACTGTGCATGTACTTTCAATAATTTGT